GTAACCATCTGGCACTCAGACTGTACCAAACGGCCAGCCTCCCTTGGCACAAGGAGGCAAGTGCCCGAGACACAACAAGTGCCTACTGATGCCAGCTCTAGTACTGTTGACCCATCCCATAGTGGTGACAGTACCACAGTACCAGCAACGCCCCTGACAACACACAACAGCCTGAGACAACAGTTAAAGAACAGTTGGCAACCTTGCAAGCACAGGTAGCAGAACTGGCTGAAATTATACAGACGCTACATCGGGTTCCTTCACAAGAGATACAGCAGCCTCCACACTGCTGTGTCACAGCCGTGGCCTGCGCTGGTAAAGGTTCCTGCGGTGGTGGTGACGGTGGTGGCGGCGGCGGCGGCGGCGGCGGTAGCAGCGGCAGCGTCGGCGGCAGCGGAGATGAGAGCGACAACGGAGGCGGTGGCAGCGACGCCGTCAGTCATCTCAGGGATGACAGCAGTGTTAGTGACACAGAAACATTAACTGGAAAAGGAAGTCGATCTGCATCAGCATATTTTAAAATGATTATTGACCTTAACGAACGCGCTCAAGCCAAGTACGAGAATGAAAAAGATAATACTCTGAGTGACAGTAATTATGCCATACGACTTACAGAGAACATTCACTCGCGGAAAATCCCGAGTTGCTCAGTGATCAAGAAACTGATGATGTCACCAGATGTTCCTGACGACACCAAAAGCCAGGTTGGTGCGGCTCTTTACTTCGTAGAGTCACTTATTGACACATTGTGGAAGTGGGACAAGGACAACAATGGGACCACCAATCCCAGGGAGGAACAACACCAAGACGATGGCTGCTGTTGACACAAGAACCATTAGGTTTTTCAGTTGGAACATTCGTAGCATCAACAAAAGACTGAATGACCTACTTGCACATGTTACCAGTAACAACATAGATATAATTGCTTTACAGGAGCCCAAACGTCCAACATGATAAACAAAACCCCCACCAAAGATCAGAGGGTATGCATCCTATAAAAACAGTAATGCCACAGGCCTATTAACATACATCAGAAGTGATTTACCGCACATTCTTATGAGCACGTCACACAATGTACACACACAATACCATCACTTTCATGTACAAACTACAGCAGGCCACTTCTCATTCCTCAACGTATATGCCAGAAGCCAGAAACTCAATGTAACATTGTTCCCAGATCTAGACAATCATGGGACAATATACATGGGAGATTTTAATGCTAGACATTACGCTGGGAGACTTTACTAACAACGATAATGGATGCAAATTTATCAAATATGTTTATGACAATAGATTAACTGTGCATACTACGGATACCCAAACTCATTTATTGGGAGGCAAACTTGATTATGTAATGGGTAGAAACCTTGTGCAAGATAGGATGGAATGTTCGTTGGTAAATCACTTAGTTAGTGATCACTATGCAGTTTCTGCTTCCTATGAGGTACAGTGTGATGTACCTAATAGACATCAGAGACGGAAAATGAATATTCCATATGGATTGCATGACCACTTTATTAATTGTATATCAAATGGTATCAAGATTACACAATAACGAATGCACAAGCCTTCTCCAGAGATCTCGTTGATACGATTACTACCTACTACGACACATGGGTGTGTTGGGGAACAGGTCGTAAGCCTAGCAGAAGTGGGCAACACCTACCACCACCCAAGTGGGTCCTTGACCCCGTATTTGTTAAAGAACATGAACGAGTAAAGCAACTTGGAGATACGTACAAACGAACCAAAGCACAAGGTGACTTGCATGCATTTCTAGTTGCAAATAGAGAGGTGACAGACATGAGCAACGTTATACGTAATAAACATTGGGAAGAGTTCCTACAAAGTATAAACAAACTTCAACAACACTTGTTGAAGTTTGGGAAAAGATACGAAAAATCTCTAGCAGCAGTCCAACCAAACTACTGCACCACAGCCCACTAGAACAAGCAAGCATTCTCCTTGATCAATGGGCACTAACTTCAAGCTACAACTCACTCCCAATTAACATACAGCAGAAACTTAATGACACGCCCCAACAGACAACGAACCATCAATCTTGCCTGTACAGCTATCGACGTGTCGGACTTTAATGATGTAACTGAATGGGAATTAAATCATGCACTAAAAATGGGAAAATCAACTGCTCCTGGAGAGGACGGTATTACTTACAGTCTACTGAGATTAGTCTCACACGTACCAGGTAATCCACTATTAGTGTTGTACAGAATGAGTTTACGTGAAGGAGTATTACCTGATGCTTGAACAAAGAGTGTCATTGTTCCCATCCCCAAACCACACTCAGATAATTATAGACCCATATCTCTAACATCGTGTGTTTGTAAAGTGCTTGAACGTATTGTTCTTAACAAACTCATGTATCGTATACTGGGGCACCTGTCACCCCAACTGTTTGGATTTATGCCTGGGCTCAGTACACAACACTGTTTTGCTGAATACTTCGCTCATATTGAAGCTTCCCCTCAAACAATCTTCATCAAACTAGCAGCAGCTTTTGATACAGCAAACAGAGAAATCATACTGGAACAGCTTGCCGAGCTGGGAATACAAGGAAAATTACTGAAATGGATAAAGGGCTATTTGTCTAATCGAACAGCATATGTTTTATTTAATGGTGTTAAAAGCACAGAGAACAAACACTTTGAACTGGGAACTCCACAAGGAGGGGTCCTCAGCCCCTTGTTGTTCAACGTTCTGATGCATAAACTTATTAAAGATCTTCCAACTAATAATGAAGACACTGTCATTTGTTATGCTGATGATATATGTTTACAGGCTGCCTCCGAGCCTAGAATGCAAGTTCTGCTCGATGCTTTTGCTACTAGAGCTGAGGAATGTGGCCTCCTTATCTCTGTACAGAAAACTCGTGCCCCTCATTCCATGTGGTATTCCACCACCCAATTATCATATAGATGGGTGAGCACTTGAGAACTGTGAGTCTTATAGATACCTTGGTGTCCCCAATAACGACCCTGGGTACCTTTCTTCTCTCAAGAGGAGACTGTGGGAGAGATTAAAGCCCTTGCGGGTCCTTGTTGGTGTCAATCATGGAATCAACGTGAGACTTGCTAGAATGTTTTTGTATCATTTATACGCTCTGTGATTGACTACAATGCTCTACATCTCACACTGTATACTAACAAAGAGCTGAAATCTCTTGAAACCTTGCAAAATGAAGCTATGCGTCTCATCCTTGGGGCTCCAAAGTCCACGAGAATAGTTAATATGAGAGCAGAGTTAAAATTACCTACCATAAGTGAGAGAATTTTGTCTATTAGCAGAGTTTTCGCTGTGATTAGCAATCAGTTGATTTTGTAAATGCGCCCAAGAAAGATAGTGTGCACTCTACATTATTAAAACAGTTAACACTGAAAAACATGACTGAAAGTACTCAGAGTATGGGTAACGACGTGTATCAGTGCTATACCGACGGCTCTGTAGAAGAAAGTGGAAGATGTACCGGATGTACATGCAATATATTTGAACAATCTTCTCTCGTACATACAGCAATGAAGCGCGTCAATGACTGGGCAAGCACAACTCAAACCGAACTTGCAGGCATATACCTTGTCACTGATTTTTTAAAGGACAAAGGCAGTGGACTTATATACTGTGACTCGTAGAGTGCATTCCTGGCCCTGAACGCACATAGTAGTGACACCCAGAAAATAGTCAGTGATATTCGAATGAATGTTTTAGCTGCTAAAGAAAACAGATTTGAAATTAAATTCCTATGGATACCATCACATGTTGGCATCTCAAGGCATGACACTGTTGATATGCTTGCTAAGACAGCCTGCAGAAAACCAGTGGTAGAAATTAATATGGGTGTTTCATTAGCAGTGACAAAGAGAATACTTAAACAAATATCTAATGAAGGTCTCACAGACCTAACAAATTCACAAAGACCGAAAAGTTGTAGCATTAAATATTATGATAGATATCGTTAGGAGACATTCACATATGGGACTAATAGAACAAGAACCCGGCAATGTGATGGTATAGTGGCCAGAATACGCCTGGGATATAGACGTATCTGGCAGCTTTCTCAAAACCCAAATGCCGAGTACACAATGTGTCAACTTTGTGAAAGAGAAAACATGCACTCTCTTGAACATTATGTTGTAGAATGTCCCATACTGACTGACTTTCGCCCTCCTGGGCTAAGGTGTGCTGAACTGTGTAATTAATATATGAATACTGGAACACTTGATGATATATTGGACTTGTACCAAAGATTAACCATGTAATGTATCAATTATACAATGTATGTGATGTAACTATATAACCGGAGCTTGTAAAAGCACCTTCATCACCTTCAGTGATTAAGTGCTTAATTGCACACTAGTTTCTCTATCAGCTATCTCACCCTGTCAGAGTAAAAGAGACAAATGTATGTGAATGCATGTGTGTGTATATATGTCTGTATACATGTATGTATATATGTATGTGTACGTATATGTGTATGTGTGTGTATGTATTTGTATGTGTATAAAGTATATATGGAAGCTGATCAGAATTACAATTCACCTTTGTAAATGCATATTAATGACACTATATAAAAGACACATCGAACACTTTATGTAGGGCATACGTAAATCTGTGTATCTATGTATTTACGTATGTAGGTTAGCTTAGCATTTTAAAAGCACCGAATTACCTTCTGTGGTTGAATGTTCAAAAAACCCTTGAACTATATGTTTAACACATCTCTAACCCTGTCCATGGAGGACTGAAGAAAATGTATATATGATGGTTGGCATTGTACATGTGTGGCCACGTCTGTGGTAGAAAATAATAATAATAATAATAAAAAAAACTACACCCGCTCACTACACAAACACACACTACATCAACAGAGTACACCCGCACACTACACTTACACACTATACCTGAACACTATTCCAACACACTACACCCACACTACACTACCTGAAGCCTACTCGTATCTTATCGAAGAATGATTGTTTCAGCCAAGCTGGATGGCAGTTGTAGCTACGGCCAGGACTCCTACCCGCTGGGCGCCACCAGGTAAGTAGCAGCCGCAAGCATTACCCTACATTCATTTATCTACATTTCGTTGGTGCCCGGAATATTGTGTCGTTTCCCCTCCACCCCCTTCTAACCCGTTCCTCAATTTCCCCATCTCCGCTCATCGCCTTCTTCTCCCGTTTTCCCTCCCAGTTCTATTTTCCCCTCTTCACCCTTTCCTGAAGAGAGCGTGAAGAATGGAAAAATTTCCTTTCATCTTGTTTATTTTCTCCCCCCTCTCTCCCTACCCTTCCCTCTCCCCCCCCCCCATCTCCCTATCCTTCCCTCTCACCCCCCCCCATCTCCCTATTCTTCCCTCTCCAACCTCAACCAGACTCACTTTTCCAATTATTTACATGGAAGGGGTCCCCGGGCCCGTAAATTGAGGCTCTTTGGAGCAATTATCTGTATCAATAGCTGATACTGGAGATTTGGGAAAGGGTCCGTCACCGTGCAAATCCAATTCAAGATCATAAGGCTGGTCAGACCGGTGAATTGATGGGGTACACACTTCGCACACAGTTGAGTGTGTGCGAAGTTGTCCTAGGATGTCGGCCGGTGAGACGTTGCCGGATATTTCAGCTAAAGTCTCGGCGGTGGAGAGAACGGGGTTCTCCCGGAGGTTAACCTTGACCCTGTGCAATATGGTGCAGGTGGGCTCTGGACCACAGGAGCTTGGATTGGCAGCAAAGATTGATATTTGTAATGAATGTGATGTGGAGTTGTCGGTGTCACACTCAGGCCGAATGTCTCTGTTGTCAGTCAGGTGGCAGGTCTGTTGGTGCTCCGAGGTCTCTTCTGCCCTCTCTCTACCCATTCCCCACTCTTCACTCTTTCTTCCACTCCTTGACCTCTACAACCCCCATCCCATTGGTCCCCCCCTTCGTCCCTTCCCTCCTATTCTCACCCCCCCTCCCATCCTTCTCTCATAAAATTATTACGAAGTATTGAAAAACCTTTATTGGTCTCAGAGAATAGATTTACTTCATTTTTGTTTATTAACACGTTTATGTACATCTGCATTTGTACAGCTGCCCTGGACTATATGAAGGTTAGTATAGAGCACGTCAAAAAACTAGCTACGTGATGATAAAATCCCCATTACTCAGAATGAATAGCCATACAAGGCATGTGATAAGTAGTCTACACTGGCAGACACAGGGTGGAGTATGAGGATATCATGAACACAAGAATGAATAATGTAACAGTGATACTAGAAGTCCCCCCCATCTCACAGGATGGTTAGTTATGACAGTTTTCGAGTATGCGATAAAGCATACGCACATTACAACCCCGATTTCATTTCAGACTTTTGTGCAGTTTTATAAAAATCCCACATGGGGTTAAGGTTACAAACTCATATTTCTTAAAGCATTTAACTTAAACTACCCCAAACAGCCAGTGCCCATCCCGAACCCCAAACCATTTCACCTACAAATTTGAGTGAGGCTTGCCCCAAGCTTCTAACCTCCAACATTGGATGCACAGACAGACAAAAGGGCATACTCTCTCATGGATATACTAGAGGGTTACCCGGCGTTGTTTACGTCTGTCTGTCTATCTCCACTCTTTCTCAGTCTCTATGTGTATCTATCTCTCTATATTGATATCTATCTAGTTTTTTCTGTTGCTATCTATCTCGCTGTCTCTCTAGCTACCTCTATCTTTTTACCTAACTACCTCTATCTCTTTATCTAGCTATCTATCTCGCTGTCTATCTAGCTACCTCTATCTTTTTATCTAACTACCTCTATCTCTTTATCTAGCTATCTATCTTATATCTTTATCTAGCTACGTTTTTATCTCTTTATCTAGCTATCTCCATCTTCCCCCTTCGTCCTGCCCACTTCCCCCTTCACCCCCTCTTCCTTCCACCCCACTTTCAAATCCACCACCCTCTCCCCTCCACCCCCCTCTCCCCTCCACCCCCTCTCCCCTCTACACTTCCTTCTACTCCTTGCTTATCTTATACACATGGGTATCATCTACGATTTGCACACAGTAAAACGTGCATGCTATTGATAATAATGAGGACACACGTGTCACCTGAGTGTGTCCACTAAACATGATTATTGTTAAAATATTACATGTTAAATTTTCACTCTATTATAATATTTACACGGTCATACACATTTTGTACACTGTCACATAGACTCTGTACACTCTCACACACACACTCTGTACACACTCACACACACTTTGAACACTGTCACACACTGTGAGATTATTTATTGTGGGTGACACTATTACTAGTGTCCTAAGTCAGAAAAGACTTCTCAAGCCAGCCCTTTAAATGCCAGATTTGAGATTAGATTTCAAAACAGAAATAAATGCCAAGAGCAGCAGCTAGAGTCCTAATCCTTAGCACTCTTATCCACTAGGTCGTTAAGCTCCTCTACCACCTATGACGATCTTAAGGGTAACTAATGGGTTCTGGCCCCCAATATAATATTCAGTGATAATGGCTATGAATCAGGTTCGAATCCAGAAGCAGGTATTCATTAAATGCAAGGAATAGTTTAGTTGGTTGCATCATGGGTGAGACAATAATATTGGAAGTTATTGACATAACGACACTTTTCTTTTGGCAACAATAACATTTATTCACCAAACGTAAATGTAATACAAGGCACAACAATCTTAACGTTATGTTAAAGTAATTTAGTAACACTAAATACAGCTATCCAAACAGCAGTATAGCAAGGATTCCTATCCTTGCAGTTCTTAGTTTAGTATTGATTCCTATCCTTACCGCTCTTGGTTCGTAGAATGAACTAGACTGAACAATAAGGGTGCTCACTCGGACTCAAGATGCAAATCAAAACAATTACAACAAAATAATTAACAACACTGTAAACGCAGCAAGACGGGTCACTGCGACAGTCTCCGGTAACCCTCTCAATTACGTTAACATACGTCTCTCAGGACGACACTCAAAACAACAGTTTGATTTAATTACACTAATTAGTCTTGTTGATTAATTACTGTCTACCAAACAGTCAACAACAAAGGTGATCTACGTTAGTTACAACCTGTCTCTCAAATGGTCAAACAATAAAATCAATAATTCGCTAACCATAATTACTCCGTCACTAGGACCAATTAAACACTCAGTGAGTGAGTAATTACAATATTTACAGTCAGTTAACTAATCAAGAGTAAATTAAGTTAACTCAACGCTGTCACTTATCCGAGCTTGCCAAACAAGAATATGTCTTTTCACTTAATTATGTATATTACACTAATTAACTTCACTGATTCTTAAATTAACAATTTAATTAAAGATCACATAAATTCCTAGTCGTGCAGACAATCAGAACACGGTAACACTAGACTACACGTCTCAGTGCTAAACTATAACACAGCACAAAATCACAACACAACACAATCACATAATTAATCATGAGGATATTAATCAATAAATCAGGGTATCACAACAGATCACCCCTTACCTCTCTGGAATCACTGGTTTCTCCTGAAATGATACAAAGCATTCGCGTGTAAATCTATAAACAGAACGGTATAATATTGAACCGAAGCACACTACAACATAATGGTACTGTCCTGACTCAGAGTGTATTTATGTGCATCACATACACAAATGTGGGATGATGACGTGCACGTCATGACGTGCACGTCGTGCACGTTTGACGTGCACTTCCAGTATTTCCACAGACGTACTGTAGCCGCCCCTTACATGTGTTTCCTCGACTATGCTTCCCTCACCTGTACATGTGCTATGGGACAACGTCCAGCCGAAAGTTGTTGTAAAGCCAACAATAGAAACTCAAGCACAAAAATCACAATGATAATATTTGAGTTCTCACATTAGACCAGCCATCTCATTCAATCTCTCCTCAAACATACAGAAACGAATACTGCAGTTGATTGAAGATCCACTTAGCTCTCTCCACACGTGGTTATATGAGACCACATGGAGTATGACCCGGTGGTGACACAGGGTGCTGAACAGATGATAATTAGTCAGGCGCCTCCGGCACGGGGCATGGTATGACACAGTGAGGAGAGCTGTGTAAGCACTATACCCTAAGTTAGTTTTCTCAAGAGAGAGAGAGAGAGAGAGAATATACCTGTGGTCACACGGGCGACCTACCTCTGCAATTTGTGTTTTGGTCCACTCTCCTAGACTCAAACTGTGGGTGTGTCAATCCAATGTGTCAGACAGACCGCCAATATTTGTTCTGCCCTGAGGGAGTTGAGGATTGTGGGACTTTAACCTCCACAAGAGAGCTCTGGTTGTTGCACCAGACTGTTGCTTGGGTACAGGTGGACAACGTCCCCAACCACTCCCTGACTGAACAAACAACGAGCCTCGTCAACCACACTCCCGCTACCGTCAGTCGACAAGCAATGGACCCTGGAGTGCTTGTAAGTTACCTAAGAGATCACCCTATATGCTTCTTGATCTTGGAGAGGGGTTCAGCATCATATATTTAGGGGTGCGGCTCCAACACCGGCCTCGTTGTCTTGTGTACACACACCTTACTCGAGCCGCAGTGTCTCCCCACTCTCACCTTGTTTGAAATGATATCCTAAATCCCCCTTTCGTGAATTAGTATCTTCTGCCTCCCTTTCCGCAGCCATGATTCTCTCTCTCTCTCTCTCTCTCTCTCCCTCCCGCTTGCTGGGAAATCTCACCAAGACAAGAGCGAAAGCCAGTTAACATCTACATTTAATATTCAGAGAAAACATACACAATATATGTAATAGAACATTATCATACAACACTCTAAACTGCTACAACCCGGTAGCATCCCAATATTATATCCTGGCCTTACCAACTGTCCATATCAAGTGGCTGCTCAACTCTTGGCTTACCACTTACTTTTCAATCACCACATGGGGGCTGAAATCCCGCCACAACATTACTATATCCTCAGCCCTAAAAATATATGATACTCTGCTCAGGGCTGAAACACCAGAAATATCTAAAAAGTATTCCCCAACAAAAGAATAAATCAATCTCTCACCTTACACTGCGTTTTACATGCTTGAATGCTTACAATGCTTGTAAGCATTCAAGCACTCCCCTTATACATTTATGTGCCTACCATGAACCTTTGTTCTGCTCCTAGAGGCTCACTTCCAATGTATATCACTAGGTCCTCCAAAATATCAAGAAAGGTACTTTCTGCAGTTCTCCCAATCTGCTGTACAACGAAAATCCAACATCAGTGATGCTTCACCACTGATTCCACGGAGACACATATAACTCCTCTGCACTGCTTGAAGTTAACTCCTCGCTCTGGAGTTCTGCTTTACCCCAGAGTTCCCTATACACTTCTTCACTAGCCTCATAGTTCCTCCATTAACTTCTTCTCTAACCTCGAAGTTCCTCCATCAACTTTTTCTCTAACCTTTACGTTTCTCCACGAACTCCTTGCCAAACAAACCTGCAATTCCATCACCATGCCAATACAATTTGTTTCCTAACAAAACATAATTAAATATATTCACAGAAAATGAACTCTTCCATCCGACATTTCTTTAAACACTAATGCGTTGCCACAACGGTCCTCCCCCATCCTGGGCAAAGCCACTGTGAGAACAGGTCTCGACGTATCGCTGGGAGGGGAAAGGGTCGCAGCCCTGGTCGCAGGTTGGGAAGCTTCTCCCCTCAGTCATTCACTGACTTTCAGCGAGGGTGGACGTATCGCCGCTCCCTCTAGCATGTCCTCCCAGCTTTAACAACTTTTTTTAGCTCACTGTCTTAATAAAATATCTATCCTACATGTATAAACATTTGTCATGATCGCTAGGCACACGATCAAGCACAGGCAACCACTGTAACAACTGTTATATGAGCTAACTGCAGAAATCTCTGATGAGAGGACGCTCACTCACTGGAGCTCAAACATGGCTCTCACATAGGCCGCCCCCAAAATTGCTCTAGGACTGCTTCACAAAGCTTCCTCCAGTTCACAACTTGAGTTCACAACGTCGCCTGGCAGGCTCCACAACAGACTTGTTCTCGTTCTCGTTCCGTAGACTCGTTCCAACCAGACTACAAGAGTCATAACAAATGTCACACACACTGTACACTGACACACACACACACACAATGTACAATATCACACACACACTGTGTACAGTCACACAAAGTATGTACAGTCACACAGACACAGTGTACACTGTCACACACTATGTTCACTGCCACACACACTATGCACACTGCCACACACACACTATGTACAGTGTCACAATATTTCCATGTCTATGCACCGCATTCCACACTCAGCACTTACCAAGTGAGTGATATGCACTGAAGCAGTCAGCGACACACCAGGCAACGTTGCATTCTGTGTATCAACTCCATACTCATTTTCGCTTCTTCTGACTTCTTTGAATGTGCTTTCAGAAAAAAGTACTTATGATGACCAAACCACAACTCAGAAGATGGAGAAGCGACGATGTTTCGGTCCGTCTTGGACCATTTTCAAGTCGTCTAATATCACACGACTTGATAATGGTCCAGGACGGATCGAAACGTGTTCGTTTTTCAATCTTGTGGTGCGTGGTTTGGTCATCGTTTCTTCCGCCACGTTATTGTGACTCATCGTCTGCAAACGCACTCATGTATTCGTTTATCAAGTCTTCTGTACCTGGTGTGTAAAACTTCCTTCCTGGCCAAACTTTACTTGCAACTGCGACACCTGGGTAGGACTAAAATTGCGGATAAGTGGTTTGTTGCCACAAAGGCTTGGTGCCTTCTTTTGATAAGTACTCACTATAATTAACTCTGGAATTATTTTTGTTGTCCGGTGTTGCACTTTCTCCAGAGCAGCCTGGTCCTTCTGAAATGAGGTCTCCATGCTTGGATACAGTAATCCAAATGGGCGCACACCAGAAATTTGTAACTGGATCACTACCTTCTTCTCTTTAAAGTCAGAGGTACGCTTGATTATTCCAAGGGTTTGGTTTGCTGTTCTGACTGTTGTTCCTAACCTTTGTGCAACTTTCATTGAATGGTAGATTTTGGCTGAAAGGTCATTTTCTTTATCAATCTGCTGCAATGTAATGTCATTATTTTGGTATTTATGACGTGAGTTTGCTATTCCCTACATGCAAAATCACGCATTTGTCAATATTAAAGAGCATTTGTCAGTCATCTGACCTTTTGTGGAGTTCATGTAGATTTCTTACAAAGTAATGTCTAAAATACCACCCTAAGCAAGAATAGATTGTAATCAACAATTTGCCTCGTGAAATATTTCACGACGTGTATGGAATCTAAGTTACTGTCAACCGCTAGGCAGGAAACCCACTCATTGAGCATAAGACCCATACATCTTACCAATGAGCAAATACATTAGATCGAAGCATATCTCTGTTTTCGCCGGCTCCACAGATGGACTTCTATCAACAATGAACGTTAGTTAATTTGCACACATGATGTCACAAGACATCACAAGTTCCCATTTCATTATGTATGAGTCGTTGCTCAGCTCACAATTAAAGATATGTCGACCTTCGTGTCGCAACATTATATCAAATCAAATCAAATCAAATGTTTATTCAGGTAAAAGTACATTCATAGAGGATTAGTTACAAACATAATGTTGGATTTATAGATAGAGCAAGTACATACAATACCTAAAGTCACTAGTACGCATAGCGTTTTCGGGCAAAATATCAATTTATCCTTTTGTCTGGCCTCACTTGGATGTATTAATGAAGTTTTCCCCCTTAGATTTGAGTCTTGCAGTGAATGGAAGTGTAACAGCAAGTGCAACTGGGAGAACACTGGCAATGAAGACCCAGCGTGTGCCGTTACTGTTGTCCCCGAGGGTGGTGATGGTGGCGACACTGATCTAGATTATGGTGGTGACTATAGTACAGACAATGACAACGGTGATTATGGTAGTGGCATGAGTTGTGCTTCTGGCTATCAACTTAAGTGTTGCCGGTGTTGTCAGTGCGAGGCTATAACATCCACCACGCATGTCGCACCTGCTGCCCTTAAGAGAGCCTTGAGCAATGTCTCAGCCGGTGCTGGAGTAAGCGGTGATCGCCGTTTTTACATCGCTCCATAAAAAGACCATCCGTCTCCAACTCTTAATACTGGTAGGTCACCTGTCATAAGATTCCTCATGGTTATCTTATATTAAACTTCCTTCCCTCCATCCCTCCATCCCTACCCTTGCATGACTTGGGAACTAGGTCAGAAATCCATGCCTCAGGACAATAGTGCTGAACAACACTGGAAGCAGAAAATAGCTCGGATGCCCTCTGGACCAACCCCTGATTATCCCATTAGAGGGAGAGTGTTACCACACTAAACACTCTCATACATTAATACTGTTGCAGGAACTGCGCCTTACTGTTAATAGTGAGAGGTGGCTGTTAATAGATAGGGGTGGCGGTCACGTGTCCCAGAGTAAAGGAAACTATGCCACAGATATTACCTAACATAAACTGTGAAGTGCAGAGTATCTCCATCCTTCCTGTGAAGGTGTCCGTATTCTTCCTATCCATTACTAGACCTTTTCACAGTTACTAAAGAGGTTCAACTCATCCGGTGTTTGTAAATATTTTAGGATTATATTTCATTTGTTTTTTTTTATGCATTTTCATAACTTATATATAAAATGATTTTAATTTTATTTATTATTATTTTATCATAATTACGATTTACATTAAGTTCAATAATTTCCTGTAATGTATTTACGCGTTGTATAACTTTCCACGGCTGTCATTGAATGTCTGATCTTGTTTCCTAAATTATTCCATTATTGCACTTTACTCCTCCTCCTTCCTGCACTCATCTTCCCTCATTCTTGCCCTCAACTTCCCTCATTCCTGCCCTCAACTTCCCTCACTCTTGCCCTCAACTTCCCTCACTCCTGCCCTCATCTTCCCTCATTCCTGCCCTCAACTTCCTTCAACTTCCCTTATTCCTGCCCTCAACTTCCCTCACTCTTGCCCTCAACTTCCCTCACTCCTGCCCTCATCTTCCCTCATTCCTGCCCTCAACCTCCCTAATTCCTGCCCTCAACTCATTTCCTTTCTGTCCTCAATCCCCCCCCCCCCTTCCTGCCCTCAATTCTAACTTTCTACTCTCAGTTTCCCATCATTGCTCCCCTCAACCCATAACCTTCCTATAGCCAGCTATGAGAGAACCCATAGTCTTCCTATATCCAGCCATGAGAGAACCAATAACCTTCCTATATCCCGCCATGAGTGAACCCATAACCTTCCTATATCCCGCCATGAGAGAATCCATAACCTTCCTATAGCCAGCCATTAGGGAGTCCATAACCTTCCTATAGCCAGCCATTAGGGAACCCATGACCTTCCTATAGCCAACCATTAGGGAACCCATGACCTTCCTATAGCCAACCATTAGGGAACCCATAACCTTCCTATAGCCAGCCATTAGGGAACCCATGACCTTCCTATAGCCAACCATTAGGGAACCCATAACCTTCCTATAGCCAGCCATTAGGGAACCCATGACCTTCCTATAGCCAACCATTAGGGAACCCATAACCTTCCTATAGCCAGCCATTAGGGAACCCATGACCTTCCTATAGCCAACCATTAGGGAACCCATAACCTTCCTATAGCCAGCCATTAGGGAACCCATGACCTTCCTATAACCAGCCATTAGGCAACCCATAACCTTCCTATAGCCAGCCATTAGGGAACCCATGACCTTCCTATAGCCAGCCATTAGGGAACCCATATATAATTTTTGCTCTATTTATAGAATTGGAGCCGCCTGTAAATGTGTGCATTTATTGTTTGTGTCTGCCGAATCGAGCTATTAGTTCTTGGACCCCGCCTTTCTGACCAATCTATTTTTCCTCTGTTATATCTACTACATATATTTCTCTCTAACATACACACGCACACAAGGTGAACAGGAGCATAAGGGTGAAAGACACTTTGCCCATTTGTTACCGCCTCAACCGGGAATCGAACCCGGGCCCTCTGGATTACGAACCCCAAGCACTGTCCACTCAGCTACGAGTTGAACCTGTCTCAATTTTTATATTTCAGTTCCCTATCCCAGGAAGGTTATCGCAAGAAGGTTATCCTGGGAAGTTCTTCTCGGAAAGTTCATCACATGAAGTTCATCCCAGGAAGATGATTCCAAGAAGATCATCCCACGAAGGCTACCCCAGGAAGGTCATACCAGCTAGCTCATCAGGAAGGTCACCCCAGGAAGGTGATCCTCCCATGAGGGTCAACCTATAAATGTTATCCTAGGAAGATCATCCTATGAACGTTATACCAGGAAGGTCATCCCAGGAAGGTCATTCTAGGAAGGTCATCCCAGAAAGGTCATTGTTTCGAACCTTGCCACTATTAAGATATATTTTGTGTAGAGAAAGTTTATGCAGCAATTTACCTAAAGAGAGAGAGAGATAGGTTATGAAAGAAAACAAGTGTGTATATGTTATAATAACAATTCATTACAGCAGATTGATGAAGAAAATGACAATTGAGTTAAAATTCACCACTCACTGAACGTTGCACAACAGGTCAAAAAAGCTAATCAAACCCTAGGAATAATCAAGCATACCTTTGACTTTAAGGCAGGTAATGATTCAATTGCATAAATCTTATGTAAGTCTCCCACCAGATTACAAGTTTTTATGTAATCTCACCAACCCATTGTACCTTCTAACAAATAAAAATTATTATTATTATTGTTATTATTATTATTATTATTATTATTATTATTATTATTATTATTATTATTATTATTATTATTATTATTATTATTATTATAATATTATTATTTATTATTAATATTATTATCTCTGCTGCGCCTCCATTTGGATTACTATATCTAAATATGGAGACCTCTTGAGAAGGACGTAGCTGCTCTGGAGAAAGTGCAACACCGGGCAACAAAAATCATTCCAGAGCTAAGTCATCTCACGTAACGGTTGAAGTTAACATACTGAACAATTTGGTGGATGATGATCCGGAAATTGTCTTCAAAAGTTCAGATGTAACACAAACAAGGAGCAACGGTTTCAAGCTCAACAAGCCACAGTTTAGGACTGACAACAAGAGATGCTTCTTCACCCACGGGGTTATAAACGCATGCAACTGCCTACCCGCCGAAGCCTCAAAAGCTAAAACTTTGTAAAATTATAAAGTATAGCTTTATGGTGCTGTTCATGGAGGCAGCTGGCTGCTCGGAGGGCTTAGAGCGTTGGTATCACTCCGCCCATGAAACTAATACCGGCAGACACGTGTTTATTATGGATTACAAGTAGATTATCTGTAAATAATATTAACCATTCCTTGTAATTATGGTCCCCGTGGCGCAGTGGTAAAACACTCTCCCGCCCCCCCCCCCCCCCGCGCTTCGCGAGCACTTTGGCCTTGGTTCGTATCCTGGCTTGTTAGTTGCTTTATAAGAATGTATATACTCTTGTATATATAAATAATAAATAAATAAAAAATGTGTCGGGGGACAGAAAGCCCTATTCATACACGTCAGGCTTATATAGCGAGGGTCCCCCACCTCCTAAAGGTTGAATCACTGAACGGTGTGGGAGTTTCTGAATGTGGGTGTGGGTGTGGTGGGTGTCAGGAGTGGGTATAGGTGTCAGGAGTGGGTGTGGGTGTCAGGAGTGGGTATAGGTGTCAGGAGTGGGTGTGGGTGTCAGGAGTGGGTATAGGTGTCAGGAGTGGGTGTGGGTGTCAGGAGTTGGTATAGGTGTCAGGAGTGGGTGTGGGTGTGAGGAGTGGTTGTGGGTGTCAGGAGTGGTTGTAGGTGTCAGGAGTGGTTGTAGGTGTCAGGAGTGGTCGTGGGTGTGGTGGATGTCAGGAGTGGGTGTGGGTGTGAGGAGTGGTTGTGGGTGTTGTGGGTGTCAAGAGTGGTTGTGGGTGTGGTGGGTGTCAGGAATGGTTGTGGGTGTGAGGAGTGGTTGTGGGTGTGGTGGGTGTCAGGAATGGTTGTGGGTGTTGTGGGTGTCAGGAATGGTTGTGGGTGTGAGGAGTGGTTGTGGGTGTGGTGGGTGTCAGGAATGGTTGTGGGTGTGAGGAGTGGTTGTGAGTGTCAGGAATGGTTGTGGGTGTCAGGAGTGGTTGTGGGTGTCAGGAATGGTTGTGGGTGTGGTGGGTGTCAGGAATGGTTGTGGGTGTCAGGAATGGTTGTGGGTGTCAGGAATGGTTGTGGGTGTGAGGAGTGGTTGTGGGTGTCAGGAGTGGTTGTGGGTGTGGTGGGTGTCAGGAATGGTTGTGGGTGTGAGGAGTGGTTGTGGGTGTTGTGGGTGTCAGGAGTAGTTGTGGGTGTGAGGAGTGGTTGTGGGTGTGGTGGGTGTCAGGAGTGGGTGTGGGTGTGAGGAGGGGTTGTGGGTGTCAGGAGTGGTTGTGGGTGTCAGGAGTGGTTGTGGGTGTTGTGGGTGTCAGGAGTGGGTGTCAGGAGTGGATGTGGGAGTCAAGGGTGGTTGTTAGTTTTGTGGGTGTGAGGAGTGGTTGTGGGTGTGAGGAGTGGTTGTGGGTGTTAGGAGTGGGTGCGGGTGTTGTGGGTGTCAGGAGTAGGGGTAGATGTTGTGGGAGTCAGGAGTGGGTGTGGGTGTTGTGGGTGTCAGGGGTGGTTGTGGGTGTGAGGAGGGGTTGTGGGTGTGAGGAGTGGTTGTGGGTGTGAGGAGGGGTTGTGGGTGTGAGGAATGGTTGTGGGTGTCAGGAGTGGGTTTTGTGGGTGTCAGGAGTGGGTTTTGTGGGTGTCAGGAGTGGGTGTTGGTGTGAAGAGTGGTTGTGGGTGTTTTGGGTGTGAGGAGCGGTTGTGGGTGTCAGGAGTGGGTGTGGATATTAGGAGTGAGTCTTTGATAGTCGTGTGCCTTTCGGCCTGCCTCCCTCCATGCCTGACTTCCCCCCCCCCCCCCCCAATGCCTACCTACCCCCTTTGCCTGTCTGCCCACATGCCTGCCTGCCTTCCAGACAACCAGCCAAATAGTTATCCCTCTATTCATTGAGCCAAACTGTCTTTCCACCCACTTGCACCACCCACCTACCAGTCAACCAACCATCTAACCACCCAGCCAGCCACACACTAATTGTAATGTGTGTTGAAATTTAAATTATTTTGGTTGTGGTACGAAAAATTGCGAAAATGTTTACTTATTGACTTCCCCGGTAAAACAGTTATAATAATAATAATAATACTTTTATTTAAGTGAAAGTACAAGAACTTGAATTTTTTTACCATATTATATAAGTTCTTTTATTATGAAGTTTTGGATAAAAATACACAGAGGTTAGGACAATAGTTTTCCTGCTAACAAAATTAAATTGTGTATCATATTTAGCTAAATAAAAAAAATATTTATATACTCGTACGTAAGTAATATTTAAGAATTTGTTATATAACATCAATATAGTAATTCAATAATATATTACACACATTAATTATGCCACTTATTTGAGGCTACAGAGGTTTGTTGTAACATGTGATTGATACTCATCGTATTCCCAGGAGAATATTGAACTGTTCGGTAAGGATGCTTTAGTTTAAATATAATGAATGTGATCATAATTGTTTAATGATTACATTAAACAATTATGATTACATTATGGTAAATGTTTATTAACAAATATATTATGCCCCGTGTTTTGACTATTTTTTATCATAATAAATGTGCATTGAAAAACACATTACGCCCGAATTTTGAGCACTCCTGATGCCAATACTTAAGAGATATGGCTTACATGACAACAATGACAGCAGAGAATAAGAAAATTACTTTATTGCATATTACTATGTACAAGATTAAATTATACTTTCTGGTTGACCAGTAAACTATTGTGATGGCGTTCATAACTTTCCAATGACCATACTTCCAACACCAAATAGAAGTGTACCTCGCTTCTCGTGTATATTCACTTATAATTTACTTTATCCTGTATTACTAATAAATGTAAGACGCTCCTGTAACCACATTTTTTCAGTCAAAGCCAAGGCGACCCTCAGATATGCACCAGGTTAGGTTAGAACAGATCGGGTTCCTATTCCTGGTCTTCTCCTTTCTACTGTGTGTGAGCAGGGAAACGTGCTCTTACTACCATTGACGCAGCCAAGTACGGTGGTTTTTGACATCAAAAGCACTTTTAAAAAGGCACAAGGGATTGAAATCAAGGATGAACTTGCATGCATGGGTTTCAAGAGGAGACTCCTGAGATGGATTGAAGACTATCTGACAGGATAGAAAGCCAAAGTTACCTTTTGCGTATTAATATCAAGCAGTATCAGTATCAAAGAATAGGGAGCTATGGGACCCCTCAAGGATGAGTCTTAAGCCCTTCACTATTCATCATCATAAGCAATAGATGTACACATTCACGTATATTAACGAATGAAATTTATATAGAATAGTGTATAGTTTGCCCAGCAACGAGTGTCAACTTGAAAGCTCGTAATTAGCTTTGCAATCGTTCATTTACTTCTCAAAACACCAACAACGTATATATATATACTTGATTAAAGCGATGGATGCACATATTGGCATATATTAAGCAATGAATTTGTTTCAGAATGGAGTATTGTTTAATTGACTTACCTCAAGTCCTCAGTCACATCAAATAACTATGTGATGTTATATGTATTTTTAAGCGAGGTTACGTGAGCACATATTTAGAGTTTGAAGTCACGACTTTTTATACCGAAAATATGAAATTAGTGAAAACGGCGATGGTTCACATTTAACCCAATCCCCCCCTGCAATTTTTAAAAAATTGGAAATATCGCAAATCTGACTCATGAGTGTCATTTTGGAACCGAATTCTTGCTCACTGCACATATTTGGAGTTCGGCCATATTTGGCCAGTCTGGCTGGCTGGCAGGCCGTCTTGCACTAGCTGGCTTGCCCTGGCCGGACGACTGGCTGAACGGCCGGACGGATGGGTGGCCGGTCGGCCCGGGTACATATGGGTTCTTCTTAACAGCTCTCTATACCTGTGGTATATGTGGAGGGGTTTTGTTCCTGTGGGTGCTCCTTAACCATTTCTCATGTCCGCGTACTCTGTCCTCCTATTTTTAAGCTGGATAGGCTAGGTTAGGATTGGTTTGTCCGTTGGGTTTATCATAGCCACTTTCAAGGTTAGGTTAGGGTTGGTCGGTTCCTATACAGGTTTCCGTCCAGGGTTAAGTTACCTCTCCTAATGTCGCCCTTTCGAGGTGGTCCTTCAGGGACTTGCCTCGTTTCTATGCTGTCATGGGGGAAGGGGATCTGGTGCAAAGCTGCTCCAGGATTAGTGTTCCTCGTAGTTGTCCTTGAGCCACTCCCATACCCCGGCCATTTTGTACTTGAGGGAGGCCTACAAGTCCCGGGAAGAAAAGCGTCTGCAGGATCCCTCTCTTCTCGTCCATTTGTGGTATTGTCGGTAGGAGTAGCTCCAGCCGTGTTTTAATGCTGAGTTTCTCTCAGGCTGACTGCATTATCTCCTCTGGATAGCCACGGCCCCTAAACATCTGCTATAAGTCCTCCAGCTGAGGCTGTAAAGTCTTCCTTCCTTATTGATTCTCTTTAGGCGAAGACCAAGAGAACAGGGTAAGGATTTTCTTTAAGGCTAGAGGGTGGTTCGAGTCGAGTCTCAAATATGAGTGGAGGTTCCTTGGTTTATTGAATACTTTTGTGTGGAGTCGGTCTGCCTCTCCCACGTACATTGTCGTCTCTAAGAAGTTTATTTCCTA